TTCGACTGCAAAAGGTGAGATATGTGGCTAGTTTTCTTGGAGATAATTTTGTCACCTCGCCGAGTCCTAGGCTGTCCATGGCAACTTCAATTTCCTTTTCATCTCGTTTTTTGCCTTCATGTGGTACAACAGATTGCACTTCTTGAGCTGATTTGGAAGTCATCGAAGATTTGACGTTCATGAATGGAAGAAGCACCTTAAAGGCGGTAAAGTTACAGGGTTCATAAGATGATTTCAGTATGTCATGTTGAAGGACCAAAATTAACAAGCCGAATGTAATAAAGAAAAAAAGTAGCGTCAAACACGTTATGTTACCGAAAAAAAAACAAAGAATACATCTGAACAATGAAAAGATGCGTACGTAATCAGGCGGCTCTTCATTTCCTATCGACACAACAACAAATGGTGTGCGAGCAGACCTTATGGCACCTGTCTCCGGCGAAGACCGCGTAATCCATACAGTGAAACTAAAATAACTGAGTTTATTATCCAATATTCGTTCTACGGGTAGACAGCAATTGACAAATGCGATGCTCTAAGCTGCAACTGGAGGGAGATCGAGGGACGCAGAACCGATTTCGCGGAAGCATAAGCTATGTAACCCAAATCTTCATGTCAGCCGTATAAACGCATTTGAGCGAGACCGAAACAGCGCCGAATTTTCTCACAATTCAACTCAAAAATAACTCAATGAAATGCTATGATACCGTAGGTCGCAATCGGGTGGCCTACCGTATGAAACACGGTGTGATCCAGGCCGACCACCAATTGTGTGGTCTGCCTGGACTCTCCGTGACCCTACACAATCGTACCGTTAGGCGGGAACCCTCCTGTATAAAAGCCACCCAAGTAGTAAGGTGGGGGTCTTCTTCTTCTGATCGTCGTCTTCACCGAGCCGCCGCCTGCCGTCACTCTGGGAGTGACGAGACACCTTCTTTTCACCTCTCCCATCCCTAACATCAACCCGCTCGAGCTCTCGCTCCTCTGGTGTGAGAGTCTGTATTGTGTTCTATATTCACCTGTATCACCTGTCGTCCCGTTGATCGTCGATTTGCTCGAGCGGGCGCCAGCAACGTCTCCATTCGTCCCTGTCGCGTGCTAGAGTGGTCCAGTGGATCCTCCTTGCTCGAGGGACACGAAGTCCATTCATTCCTTTCGTTCAGAGCTTTCGTGAAGAAGTCTGACCATCGGGCCGGCGGTCGTCCAGGTGTTCGTTTGACGTCCCGAGGGATCCAGTCGGTAACCGCTCTGGTCCAACGGTCATCGCAAAATCGCATGACGTGTCCGGCCCACCTTATCTTCGATTCCTTGGCGAAAACGGCAGCGTCCCTGATCGATCGTTGGCGTAGTTCCGAACTCCGGATTCCCCTCTGCACTTGCGTGTATAGGGTTACTCCTAGCATCGTCCTCTCGACAGCGCGTTGGATAACGCTGACCGCATGCTCGTCCTGCCTGCGCAGAGTCCAAGTCTCTGAGGCGTAGGTTAGGGCAGGAAGGACAGCGGAATCGAAGAGGTGGGCACGGAGCCGGATGTTCTTCGTCTTCTTCACTACTCCCTCGATGTTCTTGTACGCTCCCCAAGCCGCTCGTTTCCTCCTGCTCAGCTCTGGAGCTAGATCGTTCATCATATTGATTTCCCGACCTAGGTACACGTAGCTGGAGCATTCGGTGATGTTCGTTCCGTTGAGCGTGAATGGGGCATCAGGAACCAATCCGTTTCTCATAAACATCGTCTTCGTTAGGTTCAGCTGTAGACCAACCTTACCACAGGCGCAGTCGAAATCAGCCAGCATTCGCTCCGCTTGCTCGATGTTATTAAGAACGATGTCGTCAGCAAAACGAAGGTGGTGTAGTTGCCGGCCGTCGACCTTCACTCCCATCTTCCCATTCCAGTTGACGCATGACGTTCTCGAGAGCGGCGCTGAAGAGTTTGGGCGAGATGGTGTCGCCCTGTCGAACCCCTCTCTTGACGTCGATGATGACCTCCTTGTAGAATGGTGAGATTCTGGTCGTAAAGTTGCTGTAGAGCTCACGAAGAATCTTGATGTACTGAGTAGGGACGCCCTGGTTGCCCAAGGCTTCGATGACCGCTTCTGTCTCCACAGAGTCGAAGGCCTTCTTCAAGTCGATGAACGTGAGACAAAGCGGCATCTTGTACTCTCGTGAAACTTCAATGAGTCTTGTAACCGTGTGGATATGGTCGATCGTGCTGAACCCTCTTCGGAACCCTGCTTGCTCGCATGGCTGTCCTTCATCTAGTATTCTGCCGATCCTGTTAAGGATGACTCGAGTGAATAGCTTGTAGATTACAGACAGCAGGCAGATTGGGCGATAGTTGCCAATGTCGTCCAAGTCTCCCTTCTTGTACAGCAACACGGTCCTGCTGGTTTTCCACGGAGTGGGTACCTTGCATTCCGACAGGTAGCGCGTGAAGAGTCGAGCCAGAGTTTTGATGATAACTGGCGGCGCGTTCTTCAGATGTTCCGGTTTAACCCTGTCGAGACCGGGCGCTGTACAATTCTTCACCGACTTGATGGGTGTCGTACTGAGGGGACGACGTATCCATCCTGTTGCAGTTGATAAGTGGGCAGATGGACATGGCTATCGAAGAGATCCGAGTAGAAGTCGTGGATGACTTTCTCCATTGCCCTTCGGGATGCAGTAACTGTTCCATCCGGACGTCGGAGGCAGGTCATCTTGGTCTTGTAGCTGGCAAAGCTTCGGCGGGCATTGCGGATGCTCCTCCCAGCCTCTGCTGCTTCAGCTAATACTGCTGCTCTTCGCTCCTTGAGATCTTCCTTTATCGCCTCTCTGCATAGCTTCGCAAGCTCGGACGTGAGTCGGTGATTGCCTGCAGCTCGTGCGGCTCCACGCTGGCGTATCAGTTCGAGAGTTTCCGGAGACAGACGTCCCTTTGGTGACTTTCAAACTCTCTGCCTTCTTGCCACAATCGTGAAGATGTTCAACGAGCCGATAGTACTCCTCGTCGATGTTTTCGATGACGGAATCCTCCCATAAGCTGACGAGGGAAGCGAAGTGGTCCCAGTTGATGACTGTCCTGGGACTTCGCTTCCTGAACTTTGCTGCTCTCTCAACACGCATCGAGAAGTGGAATCTTGCGCGGAGGAGACGATGGTCCGATCCCGTGTAGAACTTTGGAACAACAGCGACGTCGGTCAGGCAAAACCTTCGATTGAAGATGATGTGGTCTATCTCGTTATGGAACTGTCCATCAGGTGACTCCCAAGTCCAACGAAGGTGAGGGGGCTTTTGGAACTGTGAGTTACCATGGATGGTGTTGGTCGACATGATAAACTCCGACAGTCTCTCACCCTGCTCATTCCATTCCATTCCGTGAGTACCGATGTGAAGTTCTTCAGCCGTTCTTCTTGGGCCAATCTTAGCGTTGAAGTCGCCGACGATGACCTTGAAGAAGGTATGATCTTCCCTGTAGAACTTCTCCAATTCCATATAGAATGCTTCGTGTTCTTCGTCGTAGCTGGATGTTGGTGCGTAGGCGACGAAGATTGTCAAAGCAGGAGTTGAACCACATCTTCTCAATCTCAAACGTCCGATTCGGGTCGTAAGGCTTTCGTACGAATCGATGTTTATGGCCAAGTGCGTGTTGACGAGGACACCCACACCGCCAACGCCTCTGCTGTCGCATGTTCCAAGGAACAGTTCTTCTCCAGTATCGAAAACGGCGTGTAGCGGGCGGTGCCTTCTCGTCTCGGTCAGTCCGATGACGTCGTACTTGATCTTCCTGGCCTGCATCATCAGATCTTCGATGTGAGCTTCGGATGCAAGCGTTCGTGCGTTGAAAGTACAGATCGCCATCTTAGTCCTTCTTCGTTTAGGCAGCCTATCCGGGCCCTGAGATTCTAGCAGCCTCTCCCGAGCGGTCCTACCCAACGCTGCCGTATTGGGGGCTCCCTCAGGTTCAGGGGAATGAGGCCCATCCATATTGCTGTTTTCGGCATATACGAGTAGCTTGCCAGGCTCTGGAGGCGGCCCCGAATCGCCTCCCATGTACTTCCCAGTCACTTGAATGCAAGCTTTTGGCTGTGCCGACATGCAGGATACCAACCGCACACACAGAGCGCACCACACACGCAAGCATGCATGGATGCGCCTGAGTGGAGACAGCTGGTATGAATCAACACAGCACTACAGAAACAGGGAGTCCATCCCCTGAATCCACCTGCGTCTCAGGGCAAGTACATGGTGGCTTTTGGTCCGCGATTTACCCCCTATCCGCCACCTGGGGTCGCGCCACGTAGCCTCGCCACCAACCGGCTCGAGATCTTTCAGTGAGAGAGGACCCTCAGTGAAAGAGATCCGTGGGTGTTCTATATTATTCCTAATGAAATATTCCTTACACTCCTAGTGTAAACTCCAAGGGGAAACTAGGAACATCCAACCCCTCACCCGTCAGGTCGCTAGTGAATCCTGACACCGCCGGCTTCCGAGGAGAACCTCGTTGACTCCCGGTGTGAGATAGTGAGGGGGACGGTCCACCACTGCCTACGACACAAAAGCGTCAGAGTTTTTTTGGTCGTTTGACTTACTTAGGTTTTTTGTTGCTTGGGAGCGTGATGTGCGTGGCAATATGGAGCAGACCGAATACAGAAGTCTCAAGAAAATAGCGGAAATTTTTCGTTCGTACTGCATTTACTCCACAAACCTAAAACATATCGAACACTAATAGAACCAAATGAAATTAATTAGATTTCTATTAAAAATCAGAAAAACCAAGACCGAAAATTATTTACTAGTAAAAACAAAAGAAGTGCATCGATTGAATGACATGCTGGAATATCTAGAACAAGGAGCAGAAATATACAAGAAAAACGCAACGTTAGAGGATCACTTGACATCTGCAGTATTTTCAGCGTAGCCGGTGCACTACAGAGATCGAGTGGTTGCAAATGAATGTGATCACTGAAGGATCGCTACTAGGCGCATGCGAGCTTGATGAAGTTTGTTGGAGACAGATGATAGGGTTATGCCTCAGCTATGGTTCATTTTCAGCTGAACGAGGTAAGATTTTAACCTGTTCCCTGCCCTCGACTGGTCCCATGCAATCATGAGAGCTTCACTTCCTTTTGTCACGGAGAGTCTTCATGAACCGTTAAGCATTTGAACTCAACGCTTAACCCAAGGTGTCAAGACCGCAACCACACCCTTGATTTAGGCAGCTTGTTGCAGCCGTACTCTTTTCACACCATGCAAATCCTCTTCAAAATAACTACACGAACGCTATTTCCTAGAGTATTTCCCATGCTGCAGGAGTATTGTGTATGGTCACGTGAATGCAGAAAGTATTGAATAATACAGCACAAACAGGGGATCATTTCAGACTTCAACTCCCTTTCAGAATCAGTGATGTACGCGTTTCTTCGAACACTCCAATCCAAAATTTCTACTCTCCCCACAATTTTAATAATTGTTATCAAGGAATACCTGATGCTCATCTTGTTCACGCGACAAACGTTTCTCAACTGAAACAATCCCTTCTCCAGGCAGCACAACAATTTTGGAAATTGTAAATAGCTGAAATAAATTGTATAAACATAGCTCAAACCCATAAAGTTGCTAGTGAATCAATGCAATGTTTGGTTCGCTGTCTTTATGCATATTTTTGTTAAAAAAGCGTTTTGAAATGATGCGCCGTTCCGCGTGACTAGAGTGGAATTTAGGTACTATTTTCCCTTGGTTCAGATTTTCATATAAACTGAACAGCTAACAAATTTTTTCAGCTTAAGGTGGAAGTGTCGCAAAGTAGCTTCATCAAATTCACTTTGCAGATTTTGGCACTATTGAAACAAGTCGGAACTTCAAGAAGTGTGGGTCCATCAGAATCAAAAAGTACATAGTATGACCAAACACATCGTTATTCAGAAGTGAACTCGATATTTAAGATGACGGAAGCTACGCGGGTCTTTTTAAACTTGATGGCGATTTCTTGAACTTTAATGAAAAAGTCAGCACATCCGTCTAAATGCTAGCCGAGAAGGTTGCACTTTCGAGCAGCTGACATCACTTCCAGCAAGGACGATTCCCTTCTGACTGTCGATGCATGTGACAAAGAATTGGATTCTTTGAAACAACCGCCGGCGTTCGACTAAATGACTAACACTAAAGCTGAAACTCATTACTTTTCAATTGCAAAGTTGCCTCACTGACGTCTTCCACAGGACTGATGCACCACAGCATTCTGATACGGTAAGCAAGTATAAACTTCTCCATTTGCTTCTTGAGGTGTTGCTGTCGAACGTCGAGAACATAAAGATTTCATCAACGGTTCTCCGAAGGATTTTAAGGTACCCAATCAGAAAGTTACAAACAGGTTCGGAAGAATTGCTGAGCGAACAATCACGTTAGCGAAGAATATACGAAACGAACGCGAAACGTACGACATTAGGGATCAAATAGGATGCCAGCATCAGACTTCGTGTTGACAGAAAGGCTGGCCAGGACGGAGACGGGAGCGGGCAAAAGCAAGTTGCCGCTTTTGCTGAACCCTGATTTTTGGTTTCACAATGTGGGTACAAGTCGCCAAAGCATATCAGCATCAGGCATAGCACAAAGCAAGCATAATCAAAGGCATATACAAGCATAGCACGCAATCTCTCGTTTCGTCCTACGTTAGTCAATTCCGCTACCTAGAGTGATCTCGTGAGACCGACGTATTTTCACTCTTTGTCAAGCAAATCTCGATTATTTCTCATTTCGAGGCACGCTTTTACTGAGAAGAAGAAGAATACGAGAGGGAAGGCAAAAAGAATATCACATGATCCGAATTTGTCACAAGTTATCAAATCCCAAGGAACGGTATGTCCTAAAAAATTAAAGTATGCTAAGAAATAAATAAGTTGGGGCTACTTCTTGCTCGAGGAGTTAAAGAAAAAAGTGCAAATATCAATAGGCTTACGCCCAATAATAGTATATCCAGAGATATACTACAGTTAAAGTAGGAGGAGAACAACACTTGCACTGCATTCCCAAACAACAACCAAAGTCTAACAAAGTCGATTTATACAGTGCGTTTCAAAAGTATGTGCACACCCTCAAAATTCACGTTTGAAAGGGAACCATGAGGTTTCGTGCTATGAAATCCTTCTCAATCGATTTCTCGTAGTCGATAACCTATCAATGGAAGCAAAGCAGATAATATCGCCTCACTTTCGAAAAAAAATTTTGGATGAAATTTTTTTCTTTGTTTCAAAAGTATGTGCACACTTAACAAAAGACAAAAACATAGCTGAGATTAGAAATCAGTGGGGCCTCCAGAGTTTCTAATTAGCTCAAACATCCTGTCCGGCATAATCTGAACCACGTTTGGCATAGCTGTTTCGTCGCTGTCGGCCCAAATAGCCTCTACCGCCGCCTTCAGTTCATCCGCGGGTATTATACTGCCGGTTGCTAAAGTTAACGCCTTGATCAAGGGCTCCCTATAGGGTTGCAGTAAAGGAGGACACACAAGCCAATCTATCGCTTCAGCACCATTTGGTTAAGGCCATTCTTTGGTAGATTGCGAATCGTCGAAAGACACGTGGTCCTGTTGCTAAAAATGCAATTTTCGGCTCCGCTTCGCTAAGGAAGCAAACAAGCGTGGTAACATTGATGCACCTGACTGATATTCTTTTACAGTTCATTAGGCGAAATAACGGAAGCGGGACAGACCTCCAAAATCATTGGCTCCATTGCGAATAACGCCCCGACACTCAATGGCGATCTGCACGAAAATTTCCACCTTCGAGAACACGACCGCGTGTCATCGCAAGAAATATACCTCTTCAGCAGTGACAAAATCTTTCCGCGCCCGTCATGATCAAACTCTTTCCACGAGCTAAGATTACCTGAGAGAGAAAGTCCATAAAAAGTTGCTTGTTTTGAAAATAGGAAATTCTCGAAAAACCGTGTCTTCGCCCGGTGTCCTATCCTATGTTGCCATGTCTGTACGAGCAGACTCCCAATGTGGCTAACTTGTGCTGGCCTTTGAAGTGAGTAGCCTTTCTCAGCGTCTGTCGAGTGGTGTATTCATTTGAGCGGATGAGGGGCTTAGTGGTCATTTTCGAGGCTGGAATAAAAATCTGAGCTCGGACTGTCAATGAAGAATCCGACAGGATGTGGGCTACTCTTTTGTTGTTCTGAGCAGTCAAGGACTGTGATGGAGCGGGGTG